ACGATTTTCCTGCTTTTCCATTTTTACGAAAACCACAGAGGCGTCTTGTTCAGCGTGCTGTCAAACCTACACTAGCAAGGAGATCGGGCTGAAACTATAGCTACAAGCTATCCAAGGATGGTACTATAGAATGTCACCTCAAGGTAGGCCTAGTGGCGTCATCTCTTGGTTAGGCCGGAAACTTATCAATCCACCCTCGTACTTAAGGGGCGGCAATTTATTTTTATGCCAGGGGAGCGATATAACCTCTAGAGGGGGTGCTGGCAACACATACCCCCGCCAAACTCAAACACTTTGTTGAAAACTAAATACAAATGTCTAAATATACTTTCACTTATTAGGAACCTTTACATAACAAAAATTACAGATATAAGTTGATAACATTATACATATTTAAATTTCCTAAATCGATTCCATTTTGGCTTCATTAGTAATGTAATTAGCAACTAAAATGCAGCCGTCGTAACAGTTAAATTATATTCATGCGAACATTGCATTTGTTCGAGGAACTTGTTAGAATACTAATTTGCCAACGGAAATACGTGTTTACCTTTAATGTTTTTAATGGTGATACTAGTTGAAATCATCCAAACTGCTACACTATCAGAAATATTTTGCCTAAATTTCATAAAACGCGAATCTTTAAAAAGTGGGAAGTCAGGTCAAGCTGAATATGTGCATACTACTATATTTCTGCAGCTTAAGATCCAGGAAACGGGTGAACATATCTCAATGAAATGCTAGGTTTATACAGGCCTGACGCTAGAAGCTGACGGAAATTTTAAAATAGCGTGGATGCGCGGTTGCAAAAGTAGGCAGTTTTAGGTATAACGATTGCAACCCTCTTTCTTCAGTATTCCTATCAGGGGCGTACATTAAATAATTAAAAGCAGCGATCAGTGAGCAAGTAATAGACATACAAACAGAAGAACTAATTGTTGATGTTGGTGACAGTGATAGCGATTCCCATGATGACAGTGTATGTGAAAACTAACCATAAAACAAAAGCATTAGGTTTATTTTCTCTTTTTGTTAAGTTATATTTCTATATTATTTCGTACTACGCTACTGTACTATCTGTATTAATATTATAGTTTACGCCTATTGAAAGCTTATTTGTGAATCGGTTCCTTGTGACTTACCCAAATAGGTCATAAATGGGCAAGTACCTGCGCGACCGCTCGCCAGCTTCCTTCGTCCGACCTGTAGTGTCAGTGAAAACTGAGAAGACCAGGAAAATAATAATAAAAACAGTACTGACATATCCCCCCTTTGTAGAAAACACAACAGGTTAAATTAGAAACTGAGTTTTTAGTAATCACCTATCATATTTCAGGGCAAGAAGTACTGTTAGCTCTATAAAATTTATGAACAGAAAATTTGTTTCGATATTATATCCCAGAAGCCTTCGTGTCCGCGTTGGTTCTACCTTAACCCCCATCAAACCAGTCACGATCAGCGTCCCCCAGGGCTCCTAGCTGTCGCCCCTTCTATTCAACCTCTTCTATGCAGACTTGCCATTCCACCCTTCAATTATCACTGCCTTTACACCGATGACATTGCCCTTATAAATTCCACTAAAACAGTTCTACGGAGCTCCGCAAATATTAACAAATTTCTGCCCCTGCTCCTCAACTGGTATCGAAAATCGAAACTTGCCATTAACGAGACCAAGTCGGAAGCAATCTTCTTCTCCAATAGGACCTGAAAGCCTTCCACCATCATCGTTAATAACCATTCCATCAAATGGATCATCTACCTCGGCGTCGTCTTTGCCAGAACACTGACATGGCGAAAACACATACTTGCCACCCGTGCCAAAGCCCTAGGCGCCTTTTTCTCTCTGAAGCTTTTTTTCCAAAATAGCTTTATCTACCATCAAACAAAAATCCGTACGTTCAACGCAATTATCAGAAGCATTTGATCCTACGCCATTCATATCTGGGGCTGCACCTATCCCCGTCGCCTTCAAGTTCTTCAAGGTACTTCTTCTTTCCGCACTCAACTGCCCATGGTTCTTCAAAAACACCCAAATTCTGAAAGAAACAGATCTACCTTCTCTCCCCGAGGTTGCAACCAGATTCGCAGCAAATCTCAGGTCACTCAAACCCGTTTATCTCCACACTTTCCGACTTCGCCCCTAAACCAAACAACCGTTTCAGAAAGCCCTGTCACCTTCTTTCACGAGCTGCACACTTTTGCTCAATTCTTCTCTTTGAGGTGGGACACCGATTTTCGTCCACACAACCCCCCACCCCAAAACACCCCCTCCCCACTCATCTCTCTCTCTCCTTTCCTAACCTTACCAACGAACCTTCCTTGGGATGTACAATCTTCTGGTTTATCTCCCTACTCGAGGAGTGGTTTTCGTTGGTAGGCGCTTCGGCGAATACAAAACTACTTCCCTTCAGCAAAAGGTAAGGTTTTCTTTTTTAATACCACTTATTGTCTTAAATTATTCTTTATGACCAGAAATTACACCAAACTATAAAAAAGTAAAGTTTATGTGGAGATACATAAACGTACAGTACCTATTGCGCATTTTAGTTGCAATCACAATAGTTTAATGAATTAATCCAAAAATCTTATACTTTGGGGGCTTACTAATTTTTGCAGTTCCTTTCTGTAAATAGTAAATATGCAAACAGTTCAAGCTCTACTTTTTCACAATTTTGATATGTTAGTTTTTTGAAAATTTTTCTTATTTGTTGGGCTAGGTTTAGGTTAAATCAAATTTGCATTCAGCGAGCAATACATACTACCAGTAACGCGATAACGTAAGCGTAATACAATATCTTCGAATTCACACCCAAAAGACGTAATAATCTAAGCAAAGGTAAAACTAAAAACTGAGAGATAAGTGCGGGTTACACTTTAACCCTGAGGGTTTTTCCCTAGGTATATACCTTTATGTAGAGTGTTAAAAAATTAGACAGTTTACACTTTAAAGTAATTAGTTCTAACTTTAACTTTGCAATCTTTAAAATGAACACTTTGAACTTTAACCTATTATCAATTTTACGTTATCATCATAAGCTTGTTTAAAAAATATATTTTATTTTTTGTTAATTTGCATTCGCAGAAATTGTTTCTACATATATAATTTGTATTTATTAAATGAATTAGCACAATACTTTTTTATGGTGAGGCGTAGTAATTATGTTCACTTAATCTAATTTTATGTTGTTTTAAATACAACTCGTTATGTAACCCTTAATAGAAATTTTTGCGTGACAACCTTAATTTTACGGTTTCTTTCATGTACGCAGAATAAAGAAAACCTCCAAATTAATGTGCGCATGGAAATACTTAAAAAAGGACGTTTCAAATTTACAATAAATGCTATTTATGTTCGGCATCACGTCACCTATAATATTATCTAACGAAATGAGAAAGGATCGGATAATGCCTCATTCTAGAGACAAACGGTCCTACCAACTTACATTCCGGTGTCAAGTGGTGGGTCGGTCAAAAGACTCTCTTTAACCTTATTAAGAAATTGTAGGAATGAGTGGATGTAGTGGTCAAGGAGAGAAAAATGAGACAGGCGAAATGAAAACAGTAGAAAAGTGAAAGACAGTCNGGTACTAATAATACCCCTTATTCAATTTAGCAGCGATTGGTAGTGCATAGGGCTAGCCTTTTTCAATGCTACGTTTATGGAATTATACTCTACAGTCGTATGTCACGTATTAGTTCACTGTTCTCTTCTATGTCTTTAGTTTTATTAGTCGATTTAGAAAAAGATAGCGTTGATAGACCCATATCCGTTTATTCTTTCGTGGGATGGATTCGGTGTCATTTATTAAGGGGATTGACCGCAATAGACCACTCGTACCTAGTGTGAATTTTTCCGAAAACATGGGTTTCTATTCTAAACATTGTGATTTAACGCAGCGAGATAAATATGTGATTTTTTGTATGGTAACAGACAAAGGTTAACACTAACTCGATACGTTGTTAGTTTTCAATAATATGGTCATTCAAAGCTTTTACAAAAGCTTAAAGTTGATGTTTCTTGTATGACACGTATTTTCAATAGAAATTAAAAACTTAAAAAATGGCCTTCGACAAGCTTTAGAACAAAGCTTTACCTATCTTACTACAAAATTTCAACCCTCTGTTCCAAATATTAAACTCATGATATCTAGAACCGATAAGCATGTTTTTACTCTACAGCGCGTGTACTACTGAATCCCCTTAATAAATAGGCATCTTTTGAGTATGTATGTGCTGAGGCAGCTTCTATAAAAGATGTAACAGAGTAAAGGATTCGGTGTTATTTTTTAATGTATCGGCATTTTTTAAGTACTGTTGGCTCGTGTTGAGCCGACTTTTATAAAAGATGGACGAGTGGACTAATTCAAAATTCAAAACAAGAAAAAATCACTAAATTTTTTAAACCCTTGTCTAAAGCTGATTACAACGATTAATTTTAATTGCGAATTTCTGAATAAATTAATTTTATTCTGATACATATTGCTTTTATTATGGAACCTTAGAACGTATCCCCTATGATTCCATACTAATTACCATTCCATATCCACGGTTTTTGTATTCGCAGCATATTTATGGAACTATACCGCGCGAATAAATAGCTTTTACTGTATAATACATAATGAGTGTCCGACCGGTCACTCGCTTAGCTGACGCCGCGAGTTCACTCCCAATATCAAATAATTTTTGACAATTATTCCTCAATGGTATGTCCGAATTAAATTTTATTTTTCGGAGTTTAAACAGTCTCAAGATGGTCATTTTAGCGCCAAATTCGAAAATTTATGATTGACCGTTCTTGAGAAATCAGATTTAAAAAACTTCTGGTGATTATTCCTCCGTGGAATGTCCGATTTTAAAAATTATTTTTTACAAACTCGCTCCTGAATGTGCATGAACATTGTGCCATATTTGAACTATACTGGTAAAATCGGTGTCACCGAAAGTCCTGAATCGGGAAAGAATGAAGCTTCGCTCGGCTTTGGCTCGCTTCGCCCCAATTATACTGACCTTTCTTCACCAAAGCTCTACTGTTAAAGGGATTCAGTTGTACAACGAATGTTTATAAGGGATACGCAGCGTGTGGGGAATCTGAAGAAGAAAGCGGAGATATTGTCGGAATTATTTGCAACCAGTCGCTTTATTTCGCAATTTTTATCAGTCCCATCAATGCGTACACATGCGTAAATCATTCTTCGTTTGCTTTCAGAGATGATCTCGTGTAAATATGTAGGTATGTAAAAGACGAAGAATTGGCGAATTCTCTAATTTAGAAAAATGCTTGTTGTTTACATGATTTAGACAGTGTAGAAATAAAAACATTACTGTTAGTGGACCCATACTAAAGGAAAAAAGCTGAAAAGTTTGCTAAGTCACTGGAAATCCATAATTTTAAAGCTTAAACTAAAACCATTAGTAAGTAAAAACCTCAATAACTCAAATTATTTTACGTTTCCCTTGGTCTTTATCTTATCGAGGTTCTACTGTAGTACGTTACAGCCATGCATATATATAGTGTAGTGCGGGCCAATTCTCATATAAGTTCATAGTATAACATAATGTCATATAATACTCATAACTTCTCTTCGCTATTTTCAAACTGTAATTGTTTTATTAGTATTGTTAATTTATTGCGTTACCTGTTAGTTTCCACTTCTTCTTCTTCTTTTGTTATTATTTCTTCTGCAGGTTCGATTTCTTCTATAGTAGGGTCGTTATCATTTATTTCTAAAGGCTCATCACACCAAGATGATGAAGACAGAGCTGATGTTTTTCGTTCTTGATCAAATGTTAATATATAGCATAAGTATTCAAAATAAATTTGACATCAATTCGTTGTCCTTAAAATTGAATTGGTGTTTTGTGTACCCATTTTTCAAATTAGCTTCATGATGTAGACAAAGCAGAAGAATAAAATTCGTAAAATGGACTAACCCAATACCAAGTCAAGTTTAATGATATATTAAAACTCCATTTTATTTGAGTATCGTTCGATTTCAAGATTAAAAAATGCATTTTATGTAAAAATACTGATAATTTATTTAGAAGGAAATATTATATTTTATAAATTCTATCCAATACTGTTTAGCCATCATAACAAAATAAAGAAGTGTTTAAATTACTTTAGATTCTGCTTATGAACATATTATACATTCATAACAAAATTTAAAATTAACATATTATTAGGTAAGTGCATACTAGTGGCAGATTTATAGATTTGTCAACAGCAAAATAAAAAATGTTTGTCACCTTCTTTGAGAACAGAAGACAAA